ATACAATGACCCAGACTTCCTGTCCCTTGAGCTGTCTCTGCCCCCTCTATGTTCTCTAAAGTTTGGTGAATTTCTGTGTCTATATCTGTCAATGGATGATTGTCTATCATGATATCTGTTTCTTGTGTCATGTCTTTGTCTCTCTCTAGGAAGTTTTGGGCAGTCTCTTCTGTAATGTTCTTTAGACCCACAGTTATAACACTCTATTGTGTCCTGGTGCCTGCCTTGGAATGCTACTCTTTTGACTTGTCTATGCTCTTTATGTATATTTTAGCAGCTTTTTCTCAAATTATCCTCAGCAATTAGTCTGTTTGATAAACTCTCTATAGATAGATAGCCTAAGTTAATTGTATCTAGATGTGATATGAAGTTGTCCCATGATGAGTCTAATGAATTAATAATGACGCTTTTCATTGTCTGGTCAGATATTATTTCTCCTCTTAAATGTAGTTCTGCTCTAGTAGTGTTTAGTGATAATAGATGTTCACTTATAATAGTTCCAGATTTTATCCTGGCTGAGAAAAAGTTTTTAGACATTCTAGTTGTGGTTGCTACACTCTCACTATGAAACAGTTTAAACATACAATGAATTATTTCTGAAACAGTTAAGTTATGCTTAATACTATGATAAATAGCAGGTGAGTTACTGGAGATTAGTAAATAAAATGCTCTGTGATGTAGGCAGTCCAATTTTAGTGTCCATGGTTTTTTAGGAGGGTTAGTTATGAAAAATAATAAATTTTCTTTTAAAAAAACAACCTGGAGTTGTTGACTCCATTCCTGTAAATTAACACCGGCTATCCTTAATTTGGGAAAATCACTAGGCAAATTTCCAATGTTATTTGTTGCATTACTTACAGCTGGTGGCTGTCCATGGTCCTGTATATGCTGATAATTGCAGAATGGTGTAGGAATACTCGCGGCTAGTCTGAACGGTTCTTTCTGCTCTTTACTGCTTCTATGTTCGTCTGGATGTATTTGTGCGTGCGCATAGATCATTTTGTTCCTGAAGCTGTCGGGGAAGGGCCTCGCCACTGTAGCTCCCTCGTAGTGGTCTTCCTCTGAAGATTCGCTTTCTGGTTCGGCTTTGGGTGTCCAGATGTGAAGCGGGGCTTGTCCTTTTTCTTTGTAATCGTCCTGGCTGAGGTCTCTGGCTCCCGGAAGTGTCTGTGGTGTGGGTGAGTACTTGCATGATCCTCTGGGTTCAGGTGTTAGTGGCCTCGTCGGTCGGATCGGAGTTGATTTTAATCGATGCTGGGACGTTTGTTTGTTTGCTTCTGTATCTTCTTGTTTAGAGCTTACAGTTTGTCTTTTCTTTGTTATTTGATTGGCTGTCTTTGGCGTTTTTGGTGGTTCTTTTGAAATTTTTAAATTCGGACCGAAGGCTGCGAAAAGTGTTTTCATAGCTGTTTCGATTTGTAGTTCAGTTGGTGTCTCTTCGGTGTCTGTGTCTGATTCTTCTGATCAGTAGAATTTTTCTTTTATATTTTTCTTGCTGTGTAGAGTTTTTCGCGCCGGCCATTTTGAACTCTGCTTTCTGATTGGTTCTGGGTCAGTCATTTTGGCGGGCTGACAAATCAAAGATGGCTGCCATTTGAAATTTTGCGTGGGATCACTAGCCTTTGCCTTAGTCATATTTTCGTCTATGTGTAAGTCGCTTACCAGTTCGTGGTCTTTTGGCTCTGATGTGTTGGTGTAGTTTTCTCTCGCTGCTCCGCTATCCTTCATGATGTCTTGGAGGTTCGCGATGAGATTTTTGTCGTCTTTTTGGCTCTTTAGTAGTCTTAGTATTTCTAATCTAAGTGTGTTGCTTTCTGTCTCGCTTGCTTCTTGGTCGCTGGATTCATCGATTACCTCTTCGTCGTCTGTAGTGAGGTTTTCGGGTTCTTTTGTCATTTTCATTGTAATTTCACTGATCATTTCTTGATCTGTTCCCATTTCTTTGGTGTGTGCCCTGGTGTTGGGTCTTTCCTTTTTGTTTCTGGAGTTTTCTTTCTTTGGCATGTCTGCTTTTTATTGAGTCATCAAACCATCCTCTGCTACCATATTGTTGCCATAATTCGAGGATCAGACTCAATAATATGCTCAGGCTTGTTTTATTCAATCAGAAGATATTTTATTTATAGATGTCATTCTTCATTCACAGAGTGATTGAAGGAAGAAGACAGAAGGAGAGATTTACTCCACCTTTTATATCAAGGAGGCGGGATTAAAGGTAGGGAGTGGTTTGGGAATGATACATTCAGAAGAGGGGAAAGGATTAACCCTAGTCATCCCAAGACATACTTTCTCATTTGGTATGAGTGAGGCATTTATACATGACAAGGTCTCGAAAGAATTGGGGGTGGTGGGGGGAATGAGTGTCAGCTGCTGCTGAATTCCAGGGTGGAATAATGGGGGGGGAGAGACGGGAGGGGCAGCTTGCTTGATCTTCCCGGAGGACACGCGAGAAAGGAGGGGATCTGGAGGGATTCCCCCTCTCTGGCTCGGGGAGGCGAGCAGGGACCCTCAGAGAGAGAGAGTGGGGGGTCCCTTAAGTCTCCCGGCCCCCTCCTGTCCCTTTCCTTCTGAGCGATGGGAGCTGCTTCCTCTCCCTCCGTGCTCCGGGGGATCTCCAGAAGGGCCTCCTCCTGCGCCCTCCTGTTCCCCCAAAAGTCCTCGCCCAAAGGTCTCGCCAACCGCCGGCGTTCATCAAAGGCAGCAGCAGCCGCCAAGCCCGGTGGGTGAGCAATGCTATTCGCGGGCATTGCCGAATGGCCGGAGGGAGATGCCCGGGACGGTCTGGACCGGGAGGAACCGGCTCCCCTCACCCCGAAGCAAAGGCCGGTTCCAGGCCCCCTGTGCCCCGAGGGCTGCCGCCTTCAGCATCCCCCTTAAGTCAGAAGAAGCCCCACCTGGCCCAGGTGTTCCCCTCACTAGCTGAGCCTTCCCCATCCTCCCCCGGCAACTGCCCAGCAAAGAGACGGTCGAACTGGGGGCTCCGGGAGTTCCTGGGCCTGGGCGCAGCCGCTGAGAAAGGCCGAGGGAGAAAGGGGCCTTTGGGGGGGGTTGGTCTTCGGCTGACTCTCCGCTGGCTGCTCAGCAGGCAGCTGCCAGGCAGGAGCACCGCCCTAGGAGCGCCGGCTCGGGGAAGCCACTATGGGCGGAGGGGGAAGAAAGTGGGGGGCTTTCCAGATGGGGGGAGGGGCAGAATTGAGACAGCTGAATCTATAGCCGATGAAAAGCTCTTCTGCTCTTCTGGCCTTACCGGGATCGAGGCAAGGAAAAGGAAAGGGGGGGGATACTGAGATCTCCCCCCTCCCACGCAAGAGATGGTTGGCTCCCCACCCCTCGTCTCCCCTTCCAGGAGCCCCCAACCCTCCCCGCGCCGGGGGGGTGGCCCTGCCCGACCTGGGCGTCAGGGAGAGGGGCAGGACAGGGGTTTGAGTGACAGCTGCCTGTTCCAAATGACAGGTTTTGCTTTCTTCTGAACACTAAGAAGATTCCCTAAATTAAGAGTTCCTTCTGAGCTAACCTGCTTAACCAGGGTTCCCATGCAGCCAGGCTGGGCTCCCCCAGTTGAGGTGCCCTACAAACAGGCAGGAGGTCCTGAGTCCAGAGTGGGATGGAAGCCCCGAAGTTGCCTTTGACCTGGGAGCCTCTGGATGGAGCTTGGCGCTGGGTCCTCTGGAAATTAGTCACCCTTCAGGTCTCTCGATTGTCCTCAGTAAGAAACGTTTGGGGGAGGCTGGGTATCATCCTACTTCGCCTATTTTTCTTAGGTTTCACATTTGCATTTTGGTTTAATTTGCTTGAATTAATAATAAAGCTTAAAATCTCTTTATTCACTAGTGAATATGATAGGAGAGGAGGAGGTGGAGGAAGAAAGGAGAATGGAAAGGAAAGGAAAGGAAAGGATAGGATAGGATAGGATAGGATAGGATAGAATAGAATTTGAAAGGGACCTTGGAGGTCCTCAAGACCAACCCTCTGTTCAAGCCGGAGATGCCAAAGGATTCCAGAGAAAGGCTTGTCCAATCTCTTCTTGAAAACCTCCCTCAATGGAGCAGCCACAACTTCTGGGGTGCAAACTCTTCCCCTGATTCTTAGTTCTCCCTGTCAGGAAATCTCTCCTGACTTCTAGGTTGCATTTCTCTTCGCTGGGCTTCCACCCGTTGCTTCTCTTCCTGCCTTCAGGGGCTCCGGAGGATGAATGGAGCCCCTCTTCTCCGTGAGAGCCACCCAAGCATTGGGCGATGCTGTCCCATCCCCTGCAGCCCTTCCCTTCCTTAGACCGGACATTCCCCGTCCCTTCATCCGTCATCCCCTGGTTCAGCCTCCAGACCCCCCACCCTCTTTCTTGCTCTGCTCTGCCCACGGAGGCCGAGGGGGTTTTGGGTTGGGGGAAGAGGTGCAGGCTTCCCTTGCCTCCCCGATCCTGCATCCAGCCTGGGAGGAAACCCATCCAACCCCCACCCCCACCTCCGTCTTTCCTCGCCTGCTGCGCTCCTCCTGCCCCCTGCTGGCTGAAAAGCGAATGGAGGGAGGGGCAAGGGGAGCTGTGCCCAAGGCCAGAAACCCCCCTTTCCCCCTCTGCCTTTTTCAACGGCGGCTGGGCTCCCGAAACCCCCCCCCCTCCGATCTCAGAGTCGGGTTTATTAGGAAGTTGCAGGTGGGGGAGGGGTGATTGGGACAACTGGGCTGTTCTTCAGTCCCACAGCTGTAGAGAGGAACATCTGGAGAAGGAGGGGCTTCCTCTGCCTTGGGGGAGGAGAGAAAAGATGCAGCTGCCCAGATTCAGGGCCCCCAAAATCCTCCTTTTGTTCGAGTTGAGGCGGACCCAGTTCCTCCCTGTCCAGACCTTCCGGCTCTGGGGATCTGCAGAGGCCCCTTCAGTCCCAGGAGACCCTCCCTTCCTCGGTCAAACGGTCCCAGTGGATCCCTTCCTCTTCAACTGTGGCAGGGACCTCGATCTGGCCAGGGATGATTGACAGCTCCTGGGTACTTTGGGTTGGTTTTGAGGTTGGCTGTCTGGGTGGGGTTTGCTCTGCTGGGTAAGAGCTGCGTAAGGGAACGTCACAAATACTCTGTGGACACCTGGTGGCAGGTGAGGAGGGAGGAAAAGACGGGAGGGAGAGGGGGAAGAGGGGGGAAAAGGGGGAGGGAAATCAACAGAGCCCAGACAGCTGCACGGGGTCCCTTCTGAAGAGAGCGGCCTTCGGATTGCTTTGATCTCGGAAGTTTTGAGCAAGTCAGGCTGATTCTTCTTCAGGTGTTTTACTTAGAAAACCATCCAAAGACAAGGAAAGGGGATTGGGGGTTTCTTCCCCTCCCCTCCCCTCCCCCTCCCTTCCCTCCTTCTCTTTCAATCCCTCTTTTCCTTCTCGTTTCCCGCAGATTCCTCCTCCTCCCGGAGGGCCTGGATGAGGCCGTTGGACAGGAGGCTAAATAGAAACCCCACCTTCCCTTTGTTGGTTTAGCGGAGAGAGAGACGGACGCTCAACCTAGTCTCAGACACGGATGGACGGATGGACAGTAAGGTGCTTCCCCGCCTCCCCCTCGCCCTGCCCAAAGACAGAGCCGTGGCGGCCGCCCCTTGCCCGCCCCTCCCTCTTGCACCCGGGGAAAGTGGGAACAGGGCACCGCAGCCCCTCCGCTGCCCGAACCCCTGGCTGTCCTGTGGGGAGCCTCCCCCCGCCTTTCCCCCCTCCCCTCCCCTCCCCCCCCTTGAGGTCTGGAAACCTTTCTTTGCACCGTCCCACCAAACCACCAACTCCTCCGATCAGGGCTCTGAAGGGGGGGGGGGAACCAGGGGCAGGGAGGGGGCTTTTCAGTCCTGGGGGGGGAGGGCCTCGGCTGCCCCTCCAGGGCTTTCCCAGCTGCCAGGCAGGAGGGGCGGGTGGGACGGAGGGCGGAGGAGGGACTGAGGGGGCGGGAGGGGCAGAGGGAGCCCCCTTTGCTGGAATTCAAGTAAAAAAAAGGGGGGGGATTTTCTCTCTCTCACACAGCCACGGCCACCAGAAGACCCCCCCCCTTTCCGAGAGCCTCCACCTGTGCAGCTGCTGCTGCTCCTGCCTCGCCTGTCCTGGAGTGGAGCCGGAGCCCCCCCTCCCCCCCTCCCTCCCTGCCCGCCCGACGGCTGCAACCTGGCCCGGAGTCCGGCGGTGGCAGCTCCTCTCCTCCCGAGACGCCCCCGCCGCCGCCCCCGCCCGCCCGCCTGGCAGAGTCTGCGGGGAGGGAGGGAGGCTTCCCGGGGGGCTCCGAGCCCCAGAGGCCGCCCGGAGCTTCTCCTGCCCTCAGTTCCGCGGGCCGCTCTCCTCGGCTGGGCCGCCGCAGCTTCTGGAGACGGAGCCCCGACGTGGCTGGGAGGGAAGCAGCGCAGGGAGACCCGCCAATCACCCACGCAGCGTGGCTGGGAGGAAGCCCGTCCAGGCACTCGCCCGCCCGCCCGCCCGCTGCCCTCCGACCGGCTCCTGAGGCGGCTTCTGCGGGGACGAGGCGGCGGGAGGGGAGGGACTCGGGCAGATCGCCTGCTGGGGGTGGCGCTGCAGGACAGGGGCTTGAGTGACAGCTGTCTGTCTGGGCGAGGCAAGGGGGGAGCCAGGAGGCGCAGGGGCAGGAGGGGCCTTGGGTGCTGGGGGGGGGAGAAGGGGGGCCAGGAGCGCCCGGGGAGGGTGCAGAGAACCAGAGGCAGCCGAGGGACTTTTCTCCCCTCACTAAAGTTTTCAAAGCAGCTTTAGAATAGAATCCAAATGGGCGCCTTTGAGACAATCACTGGGAGATTGGGAGTTCTAGCTCTGCCTTAGGCAGGAAAGCCACTTGGGGGAGTTTGGGCCAAGGTCCAGGAGGCTCTGAGTTCTAATCTTCCCACAGGCATGAAATCTTCCTGAGTGACTTTGGGCCAATCCCCAGGAGGCTCTTGAGTTCCAGTCCCGCCTTAGTGCTTTTTGATTGCAGGTGTAAAAGTTGGAAATATTTTCTCAGATTAATGTGGGATACCAGAATTGGGGATTCCTAGAGTGTGAGATGGCCGAGTGTCCAAAACTGTGTGGTTTGATGGAGGAAAGTGAAATTGTGGGAAGATGCCTTTTCCATGTTGGCCAAAGCCATAAGTCTCTCTGCCTTCTGCTTGTGGGAGAACCAGAGTGTTCATTGTGGATCTTAGACTGAGCTTCAAAGGGATCCTATTTGCAATTAGGAGCCATTCTGAAACATAAAAATTGATGACCAATTGATCAGCAATCTGTGTGGTTGGAGAGCAGAACAGCTTCCATGGGTGCCTCTCCCTAGAAACCAGGAAGTCCCCCCACTCTATTCACCCCCTTCTTGGACCTGGATGAATATTATGCAGCATTGAAGGTTTGTGACCTGATCAGTGATGCAGGATCCCCTCAACCTCCTCCTGGGCAGAGTCTCCAGGTCCCCTTTCTCTGGGCATCTTCTCCAGCCCTTCCCAGACAAGACAAGCTTGGAAGATGAGCAGAGAAAAAGCTTTAGGTAGAAATTGTAGAGTGGAAAATTAAAGGGCCTGAAAACTGCTATTTTATTTCTCTGGTGGAGGAAAGTTAAAAACACAGTGGAAATTTCTTTATACACTTTATTCTTTTATTTATTTTATTTATTTTTATTTTGGTGTGAAGTATACACCAAGATAAAAACCCCAAACTGAAATCCCAGACAGCAATTCTGCTGAACATTTTCTGCAAAGGAGGTTTTCATCAGGAAATCTCTCTCTCTCTCAGGCACACTTTTAGATGCTGTCAGGAGGAACAAGGGCCCAAATTATTTTTTATAAAGTGTCACATTCAATAGCTGTTGCTGATTTAGTGAGCTGAAAGGAAAGGGAACTACAAGAATTCCAGTCATTCAACAGTTTCCCATTCTGAAACACATAAATATGATTTTCTTTGATTGCTGCATACTATCTAAATGTAAAGAATATCTCCTTTCAAATAAAATAAACCTTTAACAATTCTTCCAGTATCATAATGGTGTTATATCTCATGTTTTTACATTTGTTCTGCCCGTAAGATGTTCCTTTGTGTTGAGGTCTGGCCTCAGAAGGATAATGTAGCACTTGGGGATGAAGATGCAGCCCAGCAGACCAGCACTGGAGGCCAGGATGGAGAAGACCTGCACAGCCACCATGGATTTTCCTTTGGTGCTCAGGTAGGTGGGCACAAAAGTCACCCAGACACTGCAGAAGACCAGCATGCTGAAGGTGATCAGCTTGGCTTCGTTGAAGGCCCCAGGCAGATTCCTGGCCAGGAAAGCCACCGTGAAGCAGATGGCAGCCAGGAAGCCCATGTAGCTGAGGGTGACGTAGAACATGACAACGGCCCCTTCGTTGCATTGCAGGATGATCTCTCCAGGCTGGGAGTGGAGGTCAGAGTCAGGGAAGGGGGCAGAAACTCCCATCCAGGTGGAGCAGATGATAATTTGGACAGCAGAAGAACAAAGAATGATGGAGTTGGCCAAGCTCTTCCCCAACCATCTCTTCACTCGGTTTCCTGGTTTTGTGGCCAGGAAAGCCAGCACCACCGTGATGGTTTTGGCCAAGAGAGAAGAAACGGCAACTGAGAAGATGATGCTGAAAACTGTCTGTCGGAGAAGGCAGGTGGCTTTCCTTGGTTGACCAATGAAGAGAAGAGGAGACAAGAAGCAAAGCAGGAGGGAGACCAGGAGGATGTAGGAGAGGTCCCGGTTGTTGGCTTTGACAAGGGGAGTTTCTCGGTATTTCATGAAGATGATTAAAACAAGGCCTGTGGTTAGGAAGAAGAATAGGGCAAAAGAGACCAGGATGATGCCCAGAAGTTCTTCATAAGACAGGAAAGTTATAACTTTGGGGATACATTGGACTCTGTCCTCATTTGGATATTTATCATCTGGACACTTGGTGCATTTTTCTGTATCTGAGAAAAGGAAAAAGCAATATTTCTTTAATATACTGGTTTTTTTTACATGTCAAGAAATACCTTTTTTGGATGACAGCTGTTACCATGGGCATTTTCCAAGAAGTATTTCCTAGCTATTTCATTAAAAAGAGCAAAAGAAGGATATTTTTTTAAAAATGTAGCTGGGTATATGAAGTTGAGGGAGGTTCTAGGATGTTAATTATTTCCTGTGTAATGTGTAGAATCTTCATAGGAACCTACATTATTAGAGGTTAATAATGAATCATAAAATCATTTTAGGCAAACATCCTGAGTCCTGCCCCATGGCAGTTAATATCCTGGACTTGGAGGATACCTACAGTATCCTGTAACATCTGGAAGCAACCTGGAATTAAGGAGAAACTTCCTATCAGTGAGAGCAATTAGCCAGTGGAACAGCTGGCCTCCAGAAGTTGTGTGTGCTTCAACATTGGAGGTTTTTAAGAAGAGACTGGAAGTCCCTTGTCTGAAATGGTATAGAGTCTCATACTTGAGCAGGGGGTGGACTAGAAGACCTCCAAGGTCCCTTCCAGATCTCTTCTGATTGATTGATTGATTGATTGATTGATTGATTGATCTACATGACTGGCAGAATATTTGTGTAATGAGTTCCCCCCATAACTATCCACAGCACCAGATTATGGACCAGTGACACCTTCTCAGTGATCCTCAAGGGGAGGATCCAATATACAGTGGATTGCACGGTCTTTCAGAAGGTGGACCTAAAATAATTCATCAAGTTGCAAAGAACTCAGATGTTCCTAGAAAGGTGAACTTAGTAGCACATATCCAAACTAAAAAGCAGAAGAGATATTTCCTCTGTTGTTAGTAAAGCTTGCCCAGTCGGCCATCCCCTCCTCCCATCTCTTCCCAGCCCCTCCTTCCAAGTCTTTTTGATTTACTTCCTTTTAGATGAGAAATTGTGCAGGTTAAAAATAAAAAAACCCAGGTGAGCTTCGATCTGTCTTTCAACTTGCACTTTCATGAAAATGTTCTGGATGGATCCAGTTCCACAAAGCCTCCCGTTTTCCTCAGTGTGACCCACCTTCCTGAGTGGAGAAGGTCCCCTCCGGACAAGGAACGCAGTCATAGCAGCAAACTGGCTCTCCTTCTCGAGCCCTCTTGACAAATCCAGGATGACAACTTTCCACACATTTGGACTGAGGCAGGGACTGAGCAGAAAAACAAGGAATGCCAAAGAAAATATGTTAGGACTCTCCGTCCATGGAAAATGGAGGTATAAATGGATGGAGACAAGTAGCCTCTGGTCTTCACTGAGGTAAATATGAAACCTCTGACTACTTCTAAACAGATGTAGGAGGTATAATAACTGGCAGATTCTTCATTTAGTTCCTCCCTTTTTCTCCTGGAATTAAACATTACAATGAAGTAATTTTCTACTTAATAAAGTCAAGAGGGATGGAATTGAAAAAAGATTTAAATACGATGATATATTCATCTTAAAACTGAGAACAAAGTTTACTGTAAAAGATTTAGGAAATTTTATTCTATTAGGTTTTTTTAATATGAAATTAAACTGTGATGAAGAAAGAAACCTCTGACCAGTAAGATCTTGAAAGGTTTCCAGAAAACATGGCAAAGCCACTCCACTTAGGTCCCGTCTGTTGAAGAGCTTCCATGAGATGACACCACCTGGCATGGGAGGCCAACCACCCTGGAGACTCTAGGCTTTGCCCACTTGAAATGGGACCTCAGGCTTTGGAAAACAGAGAAAAGGCAGCAAAATTTCTCTCACCTTATTGAGCAACTTTAGCTGTGAAAGAGCATCTTGTTTGATAGTAAGTCTCTGTCTTTTAAAATATGCCAGAGTCTCTCTCCTGGGATCCTCCTTGAGGAGAACCAAGAAGCCGTCAATGGCCAGATCTGCTTTTATCTCTCCATTTTGGTCCAAATACAGTTTCCTCTCAGAAATATTCCAAAAATCAATCTTCTCCAGAAAGGGATGAAACTAAAATGGGAACATCCAGGAATTTGAAAAACAGAGAACTTTGTTTCTTATCCCACATTGAATCTTTCTTCTACAATTGTCTAATCTCCAAATATGCTTAATTGGGATATAAATACTGTCATCATCTTTATAAGTGAATGAA